TCGTTGATACCCTGGGAATGGTGGAATTTGAGTTTTTTTGCCTGTCATGACAAGGGCTGCTTGGCTGCTTGTGAGATATCTTAGAGTCTACACAGTCCTTAGACACTCATTCAATATTAAAATACTTATTGCATTTTTAAATGCTGACATCCACGTTCATTGTAGAAAGTGGTCTCTTTTTAGGCTCAAGAGAATTTCAAACCCACTTGTCTAAAAAGAACTTTTGGAGATAAATACTCATATAAAACATTTTCTTAAACAACTCCCACTGTTTATATGATTTGATGCCCCATTGAAGTCTACACAGAAAGGTTCAAATACATATTGGCTCAAACTTTTTTCGAGTAAGATCACTTATTTTGTGATGAATCAGAAGATCATGTTGATGGATTAAACTCGTGAAATATTGACATTTGGATGGTTAACCATTTTATTTTCCTCAACACCAATATCATACTAATGTGTTTTATAATTGGAAAATCCCCCTGGAGTAGATGATGACTTAAGAAAGGGAGAATCCTGAGAAGTTAATCTTAACAAATAGTTTGTCTAGTTGAGCATTTCTGTTTAGAGTATACAGCTCAATTTATACAAATCTAAATGTGTATTTGTCATATTTTGCCCAAGTGCTGTTAATAAATACTTCAAGACTATTGTATCTTTTTCGGTCCCCTTTTCTTTTCCTTCTTAACTCTTCTTCACACTTTGTGGTTTAATTCAGTTTTTTTAGATGTTCTTCTATCGTAAACTTCATAGGGGTGAGAGCGTTAGAGTTGAGTTTGAATTGGCTGTCTGTGTTTTTGTAAACTTCAGGAGATTGCTGTCAAGTCCCCTGGTCCATGGGACAAAAACTTTCTCCTTCCATTTCTGGGCTTTTTTCTTGGTCAGCAGGAAATCTGTTGCTTCACGACCAACATCTCCTGGTCAGCTTGCAGTCCATCTTCTTGGACATATTGTCATTCCTTAATCTTTTCCACAATAATTTATTCTCTGTAGCCTCTGGTGCCTGAACCGTGAGAACGTTGAGGGGGTTCTGTTTGATTCTCCCTGAATCTGTGGGAAATCCGAGGACAGGTTTTCCTGTGAGCCACTTTCTTAAGGACAGATATTTTAACTAACCTGATTAGAAAATTTCAACATATTTATGAGCAGAACCTGGTGGTGTAAATGTTTCTCCTGTGGGGGTCTGTATCATGGATTAATTCCTAGCCAGCTCCTTTTCTTATGGAGAGCTGTTCTGGACCAGGTAGGAAATTGTTGTTTCCATTTTATCTTAAAAAAAAAATTATGGTAAAATATACATAACATAGAAGTTACCATTTTAACCACATTTAAGTGTATAGTTCAGTGGCATTAAGTACATTCACATTGTTGTGCAGCCATCACCACCGTCCCTCTCCAGAACTTTTTTACTTTCTCAAACTAAAACTCTGTACACATTAAATACTAACTCTCCATTCCCTCCTGCCTCCAGCCCCTGTAAACCACCTTCCACTTTCTGTCTTTATGAATTTGACTGCGAGGTACCTCATACAGGTGGAATCACACAGTATCCTTTTGTGTCTGGCTTATTTCACCTACGTAATGTCTTCAGGGTTCATCCATTTTGTAGCATGTGTCAGAATTTTATTTCTTTTTAAGGCTGGATAATATTCCATCGTGTGCATATACTACATTTTGTTTACGTATTCATCCACTGATGGGCATGTGGGTTGCTTCCACCTTCTGGCTATTGTGGATAATGCTGCTATGAACATCGATGTACAGATATCTGAGTCCCTGCTTTCACTTTTTTTTTAAATGTATATCCAGAAATGGAGTTGTTGGATTGTATGATAATTCTGTATTTAAGTGTTTGGGGAACCACCGTACTGTTTTCCACAGTGGTTCTGCTTTATTCTTAATCCCGGTCATAGCTGCATGACTGTGTTCATGACTGAAGGGGGTGAGGTTAGGGTTGAAATTGGCTGTGGGACTTTTACTGTGTCAGGATCTTTTGGTTTAGGAAGACCTTAAAAAAAACAAAACAAAAAAAAAAAAACCCTGATAGATGATGCCTGGGGAGGAGGAAAAAATTGGCTGTGGGACTTTTACTGTGTCAGGATCTTTTGGTTTAGGAAGACCTTAAAAAAAAAACCAAAAAAAAATACCCTGATAGATGATGCCTGGGGAGGGGGAAGTTCTCTCTCACCTCATGTTAATGAATTGCTGAAAGAGTAAAAATGGTCCCACCAGCACTGAACCCTGGGAATGGTGGAATTTGAGTTTTTTTGCCTGTCATGACAAGGGCTGCTTGGTTGCTGAAACACACACTTCCTCTTCTCACTCCTCCTGCTAGGTTAATGAGGCATCACAAGAAACAAAAGATCTACCAGTTTGTCTTACTGTGGACTTCTCAGGTATAATATATTCATGTAGTAAGGCCCAAGCTTGGCTATCATATGCAGTAGTGAGGCCAGATTCTGGGACATGGTTCCCAGAAGCATGGGTCTGGTGAGTGAACTCAGGGAAACTTGGATCCCAGGAGGTACCACAGAGAACTGCCTTGCCCAGCTTTACACTCCAAAGTCAACTGACCTCACCCCTGTATGGTACAGGTTGCTTCCTGACTTGCACACATAAAAACTAAGTACCCAGAGAACATTTCCTGTTCTCCAGAACTTTCCAAATTGTTGACTTACATCAGTTATTCTAATTAGGCTTGTGCAGTTAGACCCCAAGAATAGTGTCCACCCTCAGACTACAAACCAACTAGCTTATGGGTAATTCCAGCTAAAACATATGCTTGCATCATTTTTGGTTGCATAAAGGGATGTCAGTCCTATCCTAGGCCTGGCCAGCTCACTAGCTGCATCTCACAACCTCCCTCTGGGAACTTGAACTTACCGTGGTTCAGTCCTTAGGAAAAGCTTGTTTAGAGATGCAGAATTAGAGAGTATTACCTGAATGTTATGAAGCCCCTCTGTTCTTCTTAGAAACTCTTGACATTTATCTATCCCTGGATTAAACCAGATCACCAAAAATAAAATTCCTGGCTGACATCATCCTGACTCGTTGTGGAATAGCACTTCCTGTCTTTTCCTCCAGCCTCTGGCCTCAGCCTCCTTGGAATGATATTGTAACACTCAACCCAGCAAAACTCCCTGTTGTGTGGCTGATGTCTTCCTTCATCCTCTACATGCAGCGCCCTCTCTGTGAAGCCAAGAGAAGTGGCTCCCTGGCCTCCGTGCCAGGGATGGTTTTGTTTTTATCTCAGCACGTGCTTTGCTGTGATCCTGTACACTGCATGCACTGCTCACCTACTCTAGGCAGCTGGAAACTGAGAGGCAGGGCAGCAGGTGCCTCCGGCACAGGTACAGAAGCCTTTAGCCTAGATTCTGTGTGTTAACCTCACTTCTGTCTGCCTTATTTTCTAAACTCTTATTTTCATTTTTTCTCAATTTCTCACTTTAGGTTATTGAATTATCTGATTTTTTGTAAGCTACTTAAATCCTTTAAGGAACAAATTAGGAGTATAAATATGAATTAAGTATTTTCAGTTACTTCATGTGTCCAGAGGACAGAAAGTTTATAAACTATTAGTTTTCAGATAACTGGAATATGCTCGATATAGTAGGCATTAAAATTGTTATTGTTATGAATATGATTAAATTGTGCATTCTGCACTTTCAGGGAACTTGGCTATCTTGGTCACCTCTGTATCTCTAGTTACTAGTGCTGTGTGTGCCTGGCATGCAGCAGTTGCTCAGTAAATATTCCCTGAGTGATTTGAACAAACAGGATCTTCCAGTACCTAAATGTTACCATCATCATAGGCATCATCAGCAAAGATGCTCAGAAGCAAAGTGAAGACGTGACACTCTGCTGTTTCCTCCGCCTTTATTGGATATGTGGGGACACCACTGGCACCTCTGACATTCTCCTGTCTCCCCCTCTGCAGACTCACATTTCAAGACTCCCTCCTGGTGCGGTGGCAGGACAGTCCGTTGCGATCGAAGGTGGGGTTTGCCGCCTGGAGAGCCCAGTGAACTGACCCTTTGGATTGAGCATGAAGCGTCTGAGAAGCATTTCAGAACCTGGGCTTTTTGGTTTTTAACTGAAGTTGGGTGTTTTATCTTCTTATTTTATAATTCCTATTGCAACCTTGTGCACCGCTCAAGACAAAAGTGCTGCCGTAGTTAGTGCTTCGTGACACGCAGGCCTTTAGCGGGTGAGCGGGTTGTTTGTGTGTGTGTGTGTGTGTGTGTGTGTGTGTGTGCGTGCGTGCAGTATGTGTGCTTGCTTCTCCCTTGATGACCTAGAAACTCCTCATTGTGTAACCTAAGACCAGGAATGAGTAAATCATCTTTACAAAATGTGTGCTTTAACTGTTTACAAGTAAAACCTAAAGTTTCAGGAAACATTTTAAATTTCATAAAGAGGTACCAACTGTCGTTGATGTATTGTGTCAGAACTGAAGAGTAAATCTACTTGTTTAAATGATTTGACAGTGGTAGAGCTTCGTTTAATAACAGTAGTAAGTGATAGAGTGTTTTTATTTGTAAACCAGTTTAAGTGGATCCTGTGATAACTTAAACTGTTCTCATCCCTCATACGGGGCATTTTTCTTTAACAAAGAATGGTTTCAGTGAAACAATCTAGCAAAGAATTAAGGTCAGAACCTTTTTAAATAATAGTCTTATTGATAAAGTTTGTACTTCTTTCCTCAAGCTTTTCTAAGCTTAAATATTGCATAGCTTCGCGCTGTATGTACTATATAATGAAAGAATATGTAAAGAGAACATACGGTAATGCACAGTCTTTAATTGTGTATAATGGAATGTTATTTACAATGTAACACTGTAAATAAGAAAGCAAAGTTTATGGGAAAATTCAATATTATCTTTGTTTCTTGTTTAAATATATTTTTAAGATAAAGGCACAAAAATAAAAGAAGCATATTACTGGGTATAGTGTGTGACTCCTCTTCTCAGACTAATAAATTATCTTTTGAATCCTAGATTGGAGACCTATTTTTTATTTTCTTTGAAAAAATTACTTCTTCCAGAAATCATACTATTATTCATCTTGCTGCTGTTCTGATTGTTCAGAATTCAGTCTTACCTCTGTACTGCTGGGCAGACGCTGGTAAAATGAAAGTTGAACTTAGTATATGATCAAATGGTCACTATGGAAATTCCTAAAATTTCCATTGAAATTTGATAAAAATAACAAAGGGAAGGAAAAAGAACATTTTGCTTTGAAAAATTGTAGTGGCAGCTGAAAGCTCAATGGTTTCAGTTGATAAATTGCTTTTAAAGTTATATTTAGGAATTCTGGAGCCACATAAGACAACCAAAACTGCTTTTTTTAATGTAAAAAGTGGTTATCAAGAAGATGCTAAAGATAGACTTGCTCAGGGGGAGGAAGTTCCCTGCACCATATAATCATGGCTCTAAGCGGTAACTGATAAAGCCCCAGATGAAATTATACACTTGACATCGATGTATGGCCAAATTATAAAGTAAAGACGACCAAAATGGAGTGGGTGTAAATATGGCTGATTTGAGAGTTGCTGATTTATATTCCTTGTACAGGCAATTACATTTGTCTCGCTGTGTTCTTGTAGACAGGTTGGTGCCATGGTATCTGTTTCTCATTCTTAATGAGGCTGAGAACTTAGAGATGGGCTGGCTGGTGGGGAGCCTTTGTCTTCAAAAGCTTTCAAAGACCTGTTACCTGTTGGCAGGGTTTTTTCAGGAACTGGACTGGATCACATAAAACTATCAGGACACTTCAGAGTTTGAGAATCATCTGACCTATTTCACCAGGAATGTCATTTCTTTCATCTCCTTTTGACTTTATTTCATTCATATTTAAAAGTTTGGACTTGTTAAAGACCCCTTTTATGAAGAGCTTAAAAACTGTTCAGTATAAAAGAGCACAGCCTCATCAAGAACATTTTGTCAAGACTTTATTCTCCAATTTTCTAAATGCCTTTTTTTTTTTTTTTTAAAGTAAGGAATATTGTGAAGCCAGGAGAGAAGAAAAGTGATATTCAGAATCATGGAGGAAAAATGTAATGGGCAGCATAAGTTCCTTCATTTTCAGATCAGATGTTAAAGATCAGATACCAGAACCAGAAGATATTAACTTCATTTCACACAAAAGTATATAAGGTAGAAACAAATAACCTCATTCTCGAGTCTGGCGTATATCGCCAAGATTCTGAAGCTTTATTTTAAGGTGCCACCTCCTTTAACATAGATGATTTTAATTGTATGCCTATACAATTGTACTTCAAGAAGTTCATGGAAAAATAGAATTGAAAGATAATATGAGTCTTTCCATCAACTTTTCGAAGTACCCTTGTACTTCGAAAAGTTGAGAATAAGATGTTTTGGAAAAATAGAATTGAAAGATAATATGAGTCTTTCCATCAACTTTTCGAAGTACCCTTGTATTTGTTTTCTTTTAAGGGTTGAGAATAAGATGTTTGGTTCTTTTAGTGTAATTAAGCCTGGTCTGGATTCCTCAAGTCCATTGCTGGGCCCCTGCTCTGGGATGGGAACAGGACATCTTCGGGGATGACTGGGGATGCGGGGTCTGTGCTCTCCCTTAAGGCATCTGGAGCACCTGTGCTGATGAGCACCTAGTGGCCTGGTCAAGGTTTTGTCCTCTTCTCTTGGCGACTCTGCCTCTTCTCTCCACTTTCAGCATGTCTGCCTATGCCATTTTAAATTGCCACTTCTAAATGTGAACTTGAACTCAGATATTAACATCTGTTAGAATTGTGTACAAAGTGTGTATAAATAAGTCCTGAATGATAGTCTGGGGTGCTTGTCTGTGAGAAAAGTGAATGAATTTTGGTTTATGGATGTGGGGACATCTTTTTGAGCCACTCAAAAGCTTTTTCTGCTAAATTTTTAGTGTTCCTTCCACGTTTGAGGGTAGTAGTGTTGCATACCAGTTACCTGCAGTTAACCAAGGTTACTCTGTTTTGATATTCTGGATGGAGGGAGGGAAGAAAGGAAGATTTAGAAAAGTGTTAGAATCATTCAGTCATTCTTGAATCCTGAGACGGTAATAATTGTGGGATCTTTTTTTTTTTTTTTTTTTTTTTTT